ACCTGCGGCTGAGGACTGACCTGCGGCTGAGGGACTGACCTGCGGCCTGAGGGACTGACCTGCGGCTGAGGGACTGACCTGCGGCTGGGGGACTGGACCTGCGGCTGGGACGACCTGCGGCGAGGGACTGACCTGCCGGCTGAGGGACTGACCTGCGCTGAGGGACTGACCTGCGGCTGAGGGACTGACCTGCGGCTGAGGGACTGACCTGCAGGCTGAGGGACTGTGACCTGCGGCTGAGGGACTGACCTGCTGATCGGCTGGGGACTGACCTGACTGCGGCTGAAGGGACTGACCTGCTGCTGAGGGACTGACCTGCGGCTGAGGGACTGACCTGCGGCTGAGGGACTGACCTGCGGCTGAGGGACTGACCTGCGGCTGAGGGACTGAACCGCGGCTGAGGGACGGACCTGCGGACTGAGGGACTGACCTGCGGCTGAGGGACTGACCTGCGGCTGAGGGACTGACCTGCGGCTGAGGGACTGACCTGCGGGGCTGGAGGGGACTGACCTGCGGCCTGAGGGCTCACCTGCGGCTGAGGGACTGACCTGCGGCTGAGGGACTGACCTGCGGCTTGAGGGACTGACCTGCGCTGAGGGACTGACCTGCGGCTGAGGGACTGACCTGCGGCTGAGGGACTGACCTGCGGCTGAGGGACTGACCTGCGGCTGAGGGACTGACCTGCGGCTGAGGGACTGACCTGCGGCTGAGGGACTGACCTGACGGCTGAGGGACTGACCTGCGGCTGTGAGGGACTGACTGTATGCTATCTGCGAGTGACTGACCTGCGGCTGAGGGACTGACCTGCGGCTGAGGGACTGACCTGCGGCCTGAGGGACTGACCTGCGGCTGAGGGACTGACCTGCGGCTGAGGGACTGACCTGCGGCTGAGGGACTGACCTGCGGCTGAGGGACTGACCTGCGGCTGAGGGACTGACCTGCGGCTGAGGGACTGACCTGCGGCTGAGGGACTGACCTGCGGCTGAGGGACTGACCTGCGGAGCTGATGGGACTAACCTGCGGCCATGAGGGCGCTGTGGAGAGACCTGCGGCTGAGGGACTGACCTGCGGCCTGAGGGACTGACCTGCGGCTGAGGGACTGACCTGCGGCTGAGGGACTGACCTGCGGCTGAGGGACTGACCTGCGGCTGAGGGACTGACCTGCGGCTGAGGGACTGACCTGCGGCTGAGGGACTGACCTGCGGCTGAGGGACTGACCTGCGGCTGAGGGACTGACCTGCGGCTGAGGGACTCTGACCTGCGGCTGAGGGACTGACCTGCGGGCTGAGGGACTGACCTGCGGCTGAGGGACTGACTGCGGGCTGAGGGACTGACCTGCGGCTGAGGGACTGACCTGCGGCTGAGGGGACTGACCTGCGGCTGAGGGACTGACCTGCGGCTGAGGGACTGACCTGCGGCTGAGGGACTGACCTGCGGCTGAGGGACTGACCTGCGGCTGAGGGACTGACCTGCGGCTGAGGGACTGACCTGCGGCTGAGGGCTGACCTGCGGCTGAGGGACTGACCTGCGCTGAGGGACTGACCTGCGGCTGAGGGACTGACCTGCGGCTGAGGGACTGACCTGCGGCTGAGGGACTGACCTGCGGCTGAGGGACTGACCTGCGGCTGAGGGACTGACCTGCGGCTGAGGGACTGACCTGCGGCTGAGGGACTGACCTGCGGCTGAGGGACTGACTGCGGCTGAGGGCCTGACCTGCGGCTGAGGGACTGACCTGCGGCTGAGGGACTGCGGCTGGAGGGACTGACCTGCGGCTGAGGGACTGACCTGCGGCTGAGGGACTGACCTGCGGCTGAGGGACTGACCTGCGGCCTGAGGGACTGACCTGCGGCGAGGGACTGACCTGCGCTGAGGGACTGACCTGCGGCTGAGGGACTGACCTGCGGCTGAGGGACTGACCTGCGGCTGAGGGACTGACCTGCGGCTGAGGACTGAACCTGCGGCTGAGAGGACTGACCTGCGGCTGAGGGACTGACCTGCGGCTGAGGGACTGACCTGCGGCTGAGGGACTGACCTGCGGCTGGGACTGCCTGCGGCTGAGGGACTGACCTGCGGCTGAGGGACTGACCTGCGGCTGAGGGACTGACCTGCGGCTGAGGGACTGGACCTGCTGCTGAGGACTGATCCTGCGGCTGAGGGACTGGACCTTGCCTGCGCTGAGGGGAATGACCTGCGGCTGAGGGACTGACCTGCGGCCTGAGGGACTGAACCTGCGGCTGAGGGACTGACCTGCGGCTGCGGGATCTGACCTGCGGCTGAGAGGACTGACCTGCGGCTGAGGGACTGACCTGCGGCTGAGGGACTGACCTGCGTGACTGAGGGACTGACCTGCGGCTGAGGGACTGACCTGCGGCTGAGGGACTGACCTGCGGCTGAGGGACCTGACCTGCGGCCTGAGGGGACTGACCTGCGGCTGAGGGACTGACGCTGCGGCTGAGGGACTGACCTGCGGCTGAGGGACTGACCTGCGGCTGAGGGACTGACCTGCGGCTGAGGGACTGACCTGCGGCTGAGGGACGAGACCTGCGGCTGAGGGACTGACCTGCGGCTGAGGGGCCTGACCTGCGGCTGAGGGACTGACCTGCGGCTGAGGGACTGACCTGCGGCTGAGGGGACTGACCTGCGGCTGAGGGACTGACCTGCGGCTGAGGGACTGACCTGCGGCTGAGGGACTGACCTGCGGCTGAGGGACTGACTGCGGCTGAGGGACTGACCTGCGGCTGAGGGGACTGACCTGCGGCTGAGGGACTGACCTGCGGCTGAGGGACTGACCTGCGGCTGAGGGACTGACCTGCGGCTGAGGGACTGACCTGCGGCTGAGGGACTGACCTGCGGCTGAGGGACTGACCTGCGGCTGAGGGACTGACCTGCGGCTGAGGGACTGACCTGCGGCTGAGGGACTGACCTGCGTGCTGAGGGACTGCCCTGCGGCATGAGGGACTGACCTGCGGCTGAGGGCCACTGACCTGCGGCACTGAGGGACTGACCTGCGGTCTGAGGACTGACACTGCGGCTGAGGGACTGAACTGCGGCTGAGGGAACTGACCTGCGGCTCTGAGGGACTGACCTGCGGCTGAGGGACTGACCTGCGGCTGAGGGACTGACCTGCGGCTGAGGGACCTGACCTGCGGCTGAGGGACTGACCTGCGGCTGAGGGACTGACCTGCGGCTGAGGGACTGACTGCGCGGTCTGAGGACTGACCTGCGGCTGAGGGACTGACCTGCGGCTGAGGGACTGACCTGCGGCTGAGGGACCTGACCTGCGGCTGAGGGACTGACCTGCGCTGCGGATGACTGCGGCCTGAGGGACTGACCTGCGGCCTGAGGGACTGACCTGCGGCTGAGGGACTGACCTGCGGCTGAGGGACTGACCTGCGGCTGAGGGACTGACCTGCGGCTGAGGGACTGACCTGCGGCGAGGGACTGACCTGCGGGCTGAGGGACTGACCTGCGGCTGAGGACTGACCTGCGGCTGAGGGACTGACCTGCGGCCCTGAGGGACTGACCTGCGGCTGAGGGAACTGACTGCGGCTGAGGGACTGACCTGCGGTGAGGGACTGACCTGCGGCTGAGGGACTGACTGACCTGCGGCTGAGGGACTGCAGGAAGTTCTGCATGTTGCCGATGAGGAAGAGCCCGAGCGCGACGATGAGCAGCATGAAGACCACCTCGCCCACCTCCGTGGTCGGCACCAGATTGCCTGCTAGTGTACTGATTTGCTGCTCCCCTCACACACACACACACATTACACCGTTCACGCACACACACACCACACCACACCACACCGCATGTCGAGTGAGAGGAGGAAGAGAGGGGAGTCAGGGAGGCTGGAGGGACAAGGGAAGACCAGCTGGTTGGAGAACAGGAGAGTCCAAGTCAAGAGAGCGAGGAGAGAGGTGTGGGGTTGGTGGTGGGCGTAGGGGTGAGGGTGGGGGTGGGGGGGGAGGGGTTACCTGGAAGCCCCACATGAGGGAGTAGAGCCAGGTGGAGAAGAAGGAGCCGAGCTGCACGACGCGCACACCCGTGGTGTACATGCCGTAGAAGTCGCTGCTGATGCCGCTGCTGCTCAGACACTGGTCGTACATGCTCGTACTGTTCGCCCGCCACTCGCTGTACCCCTGTGTACCGTCCCCCGGGCAGCTGAGGAAGGACTGGTAGCAGGGCGGCGAGGAGTCGGGCAGACAGGAGTTGACGAGGCAGGTGGCGGTGCGCTGCATGGTGAGGAGGTACCAGAGCGTGCCGACCACGTTGGAGCCCATGAAGAAGGCAACCAGGTTGAGCAGGAAGGAGGCCCAGGCGGTCTCAAAGAGCACGGAGTGGCTGCCCTGGCCTGACAGCATGGGGTACATGCGCGCGAGGCGCGGCACAAACTGCAGCAGCACGCTGATGCGCACCGCCACCTGCCACGTCTGCGACACGTTGATGTCGGGCGAGAGCGGCAGCACCGCCACTGTTATTATCTGGGAGGGGAGGAGAGGGACAGCTTGGTGGAGTGAGGCAGGAGCAGCGGAGCGCAAAGGAGGGGAGGGGCAGGGTGCATAGGGAAGGAGGGATGGCGAGGAGGGCATGGAAGGAGGGATGGCGAGGAGAGCAGGGAGCGGAACGATGTGAGCGAGGGCAGAGCGAGCGGCACAAGGAGGTGAGACTTGTGGGAGGTGCGGCCCTGGGGAAAGAGGGACCCATGGATGGGCGAAGTTGGCGAGGGACGGAACGGAGGTGGGGAGGGGCGGACCTGGGGGAGGGGGATGAGGGCGAGGAGGTCGGCAAGGAAGAGCGTTCGGAGGTAGTTGATGAGGATGGCGCGGCCGTCCACCACCAGGTCGCCCAGCTTCACCTTCTCGCCACTCGAGTTCTTTATGTTGCCATCCTTGACATGGTCGTGCGTGGCGTTGAACATCATGCGAGTCTGATGCACACCCGGGGGGAAGGGGGGAGGTGTTGTGAACGGGCGAGAGGGGTGAGGAGGAGGGGATACGAGGGGGTTCGTTGGGATAGAGCAGCGATGGAAGGAAAGTGGAGAGGGAAAGTGGGGAGGGAAAGTGGGGAGGAAAGTGGGGAGGAAAGTGGAAAGTGGAGAAGGAAAGTGGGGAGGAAAGTGGGGAGGAAAGTGGAAAGTGGAGAGGGAAAGCGGGGAGGAAAGCGGGGAGGAAAGTGGGGAGGAAAGTGGGGAGGGAAAGTGGGGAGGAAAGTGGGGAGGAAAGTGGGGAGTAAAGTGGGGAGGAAAGTGGGTAGGGGAATGGGGGCTGAAGGGAGAGGTGATGCAGTGGCAGGGAGAGGGGTGCGGCATGGGGGACTGAGCGCACAAGCATGGCACGGAAAGGCGAGAGCCTCAATATGTACAAGCAAGTTGAGAGAGACTCACATGCACTAGTATGTTGAGAGAGACTCACATGCACGAGTATGTTGAGAGAGACTCACATGCACGAGTATGTTGAGAGAGACTCACATGCACGAGTATGTTGAGAGAGACTCACATGCACTAGTATGTTGAGGAGCGTGAGGAAGTCAAGGAAGGTGCGAATGCCGACGAGACAGTAGGCGAATGTCCACCTCGTGTACACACACATGTTCTCCTGCACATGCCCACGCGCACACACGCACACGCACACACGCACACGCACACACATGCACGTGCACACACATACAGACAAATGATGCTGGCCTTAAAGTGGACGGTGTTTTGCAGAAAATATATGATTGGACGAAGGGGAGTGGAACCCAGGGTGGTGGGAACCACTTGACTGACGGAGAGGCACCTGACTGGCAGAGAGGCACCTGACTGATGGAGAGGCACCTGACTGGCAGAGAGGCACCTGACTGATGGAGAGGCACCTGACTGACAGAGAGGCAGGTGGATGAGGGAGAAGGACCTACCTGACTGATGGAGGGGCACGTACCCGGGTGAGGGAGGGGCGGGTACCTGGGAGACGGAGAGGACGAGGAGGAAGAAGGGGTCGAGCAGGAAGGCGGCGAGCATCATGCCGAACTGCAGCTTCACCCACAGCTTCACGTAGTAGCTGTGCGGGTGCAGCAGCGGCGGCGGCCACAGCTCCGCCAAGAACCGCCGCAGCAGGAAGCGCCGCCGCCGCTGCCAGGGGCGCAGAGGGGTGGGGAGGGATGGGACCGATGGGAGGGATGTGAGGGGGAGGGGTGGGGAGGGATGGGAAGGTGGTGGCAATGGCAATGCAGCACGGACACCGACAGTGGCAATGCCTCGCTGCGAGTAGGCAGCGCCGGGGGCTCACGTAGGTGAATGGGTGCAGCGCGGGTGTGGTGGCTCACGTAGGTAAATGGGTGCAGCGCGGGTGTGGTGGCTCACGTAGGTGAATCGGAGGCCGCAGCAGCGCAGTGTGACGAGCAGCTCCTCCTCGCCGTCGCCATCCTCGTCCCCGTCGTCGTCCAGCATCCAGTCCATCGCCCGAGTAGTCCTTCGCCACCGTCGTCACGGCCGCGCTGGCGCCGGGCGCGGCGGCGGCCATCATTTTGCGCATGTGGAGGTGCATCTCGGGCGGGCAGCGGTTGCACATGGGGTCCATGCACATGATCACACTCTGCCGCACCATCTTGCGCTGCCGCACGCCGCCCGGCATGTCCACGTGCACCGCCGACTGCGGCGGTCCGCCCGCGTTGCCTATCAGGTTCGTCGCGCGCTGCTGCTTCTGCTGCTGCTGCCGCGCCTTGCGCTCGGCGCGCAGCGCTTCGAGGTCCTTGGCGAGCCGCTCCAGGTCGTCGTCGTCCGCGCCCTCACTCGCGCCCTCGTCGTCCGCCGCCGCCCCTGCGCGCGCGGTGTCCGCCATGTCCTTGAGTTCGCGCTCCACTTCCTTGATGTCTTTCAGCGACCGCCGCACCATCTGCCACTTGCTCCGCCCCGACCCCACCTTCCCCACACCGCCCTCGCCTTGCACTCCGCCTTCCTCCCCCGGCTGCTTCGGCCCGCCCGTCAACGCCCCCCCGTCGTCGGGCTGCGCGTCGACGGCGGCGCTCGCCCTCGGTAAGCTGTTGCTTCCGTCGGCTCTCGGCGAGGGGACGTCGCGATCGTCGTCGAAGCGCACTCCCGCGCCTAGCGGCTTGCGCCGGGGGTACATGGCGGACATGGGGCGCAGCGCGGACGTTACCCGGTTCAAGGGCCCGCTGCGTTGCTTCGCTTTGCCGCCGGTGCTGACGGACGGCGGAAGGCGTTGCGCTTCCGCCGCCTCCCCTTCATTCGACCGTGGCCCGCGATCGCTCTCCCCTCGCGGCAGCCTTGCGGTTGCCGGTGTAGAGGCGGACGGAATGGCGGCAGCGCCCGGCGGGTGTGGGTGTGGCCGGCGAGGGGACGGCAGTTGAGCGGAGTCGGTCGCTGAAGGCGGAGTGGTAAGGGACGGTACAGAGGGTTGGGATGTCGGCGGCTGCGACTCCGATGGCTGCGACGTGGACGGCAGCAGCGACTCGACGTCTGGCGATTCCTTCCACCCCTCGTACTCTGTCAGTAGCGACATCCTCGGCTCGTGGCCCCGCCTCGTGCTACCTAGAACAAGTTGCTGCGACTAACTAACGTGCATGACGGGTAACGAAGGCAGGAAGAAAAGCAATCAGCAGGGGCTGCGGAGGGTCTGCGGCACGACAGTCTAGAGGGTAATGGGGTGCTCCTGTAGGTGTGGTTGCACCGCGGAAGTGACACGTTAGTCGGGAGGTAGGCAAAATGTATGGCTTTAGTTTGAGGAGATATGATATGCAGAGATGAGGGCCGTCCGGTCTTGACCTAAGCTGCTGTTTGGTGAGGGCCGTCCGTCCTTGTGCTCTTCCACTCACCCTCGACAAACAAGCCCGCACGAATGCGGTAAGCAAAGCGAGAGTGCGAGGGCATAGGAAGGGCAACACTACACACCCATCCAAGCACTGGGCAATTGACAAAAAACCTTTTGGCGGGAACGAGATGTACAAAAAGATAATAGCAGTGGTTGGTGTCAAGCATAAATGTGATAAAATGAAAGCACTAGAAAACAAAGGGTTAAAACGAACTGCTTGGCAGAAACGTGGGTATTGTTGCTGGAGACATCGAGCTTGTTGCGTGAGACCCAACGTTCAATGCAGGTGGCTGCAATTCGAGGCGGGCAATTGGGGTTTCGCCTTGAAACCTGGGAACCAGGGACCTCGTTAATGGACACTTCAATACACGGTTTTTTTTTTTGTGAATGATATTGCACTATAGGAAGTGCATACATTCTCAGTCGAAACTGATTGTCCGGAGAGGCCCTACCCTGTTTATATAGCCTTGTACTACTACCGGGGCCTCCCCTCCGTGGGGATTTTATGGAGGCTGTCTGATCGTTCTGGGATTACACCAGATGGAGAGAAATGTTGGAAACAAGTAATTTAAACGCTCCTGTTGTGTCGAAACAATAAGACAACAAACGACGCAAATCACAGCGGAGCAACGGCGAGTCAACCGAAGAGTTTGACAGAAAGTAACAGCTGGAGGTTACGCGAAGGTCAAAGGTCAGCGACCTTTGACTCGACAAAATACAGCGCGGCAGCAAGGACAAACAACTGACTCGGTATTGAGCAGTTGCCCGAGTCGTCACTGTATCGAACTGCAACAGCAAAAACAGTTAATCGCACCTCTTCGTATTCCTTGTAATCATATATATTCTTGTATCTCTTTGCTTTAATCAATTCATCTTGCTCTCACACACTAGTGCAAGGTGGTTCAACAGTTCAACAAGTTTATTATACGCTTCCACAATTACAACATTTCTACTCCAAATCTTAGCCTTGAAAAGATCCTAAGGGCTTTTCTCAGCCCAACATGGTATGAGAGCCTCCAGGCAAGATCCACTACAAAAACTCCTACAACAGCGCAAGGCATGGCAACTCAGAAGGAGAGGAGTTCCTCCAACGGATCTCCCGGCACTACTCCTTCTCCACCTCCAGCTTCTGGCCAACAGACAGAAGAAGGTACAGCTACAAGACCAGCTGCGGAGTCTACCGAAACTCCCGCGAATCAACCAACAGGCCTCGATCCAAGCATGATGGAGAAATTCTTCTCCTTCATGTCCTTCTACGAGCAGCATCAACAAGCAGCACCTGCACAATCAAACAACAGCGACACCTGTCAAACATATGTTTATATGTTATAGTTTAGGTAGGCTTTAGTGGGGTACTCACTGTGGGGTACAACCCCTTAGGTTTTTCTTTTGTACCAAACTCTCGATAGTTCATCCATCACTTGCCTAAGAGCTTGACATGGCATATAGAGCATAGGTCCTTAGGACCTAGGATTAGGGCCCACCGATTACCATATTACCTCACCTGCCTACCTGCCTTGTCTACTGCCCGCGCGCGCCTCGGCTGCACGCGCGCGGCCCCTTTTTTTTTTTTTTTTCCCGCGCGCGCCTCTTAAGCAGCCCGCGCGGCCCGTTTAGGCCCCGCCCGCGCAGCCCGTTTAGGCCCCGCCCGCGCGGCCCGTTTAGGCCCCGCCCGCGCGCCACTTCCGCCGCCTGCGCGCAGCCTGCTTAGGCCACGCCCGAGCAGCCCGCCGCCGCACGCAGCCCGGAGCCGCGCGCAGCCCGTCGCCATGCGCAGCCAGGAGCCGCACGCAGCCCGTCGCCACGCGCAGCCAGCAGCCGCACGCAGCCCTCAGCCGCACGCAGCCAGCAGCCGTGCGTGCCCTGCTCGTGTGCCTACCTGCGAGGCCCGCTGCTGCCTAGCCCGCTGCCTTAGAAAGCGCGCGGCCTGCTACTGTCTAGCACGCCGCCTTAGGAGCTTGAGTGCGGCAAGCTACTGCCCTGCAAGTTGCATGTGCTGCCTGCTGCCTGCTGCCTCTGTCTTAGCCTGCGGTCTACTGCCTGCTGCCTCCTGTCTACTGCCTGCTGTCTCTGTCTTTGCCTGCGGCCTGCTGCCTACTGCCTCCTGTCTGCTGCCTGCTGCCTACTGCCTTTGCCTGCTACCGTTATGACGACGCCTAACGTTCTCGCGTTCGAGCTTGACGGTCGCCCCATAGAGTTCGCTGTGTGGTTAGACGACCTCCAACTGTTCCTTCTGACCGATGCCAAAGAGGGCGTTTCACTGTTCGATTACGTGTCTGGCACTGCCGTTGCTCCTACTGCCGATGCTCCTGCTCTTGAACGCTCGCAGTGGCAGACTTGCGATGCTGCTGCACGCCTAGCTATTAGGAACCATCTGCCGATTACTGAGCGCGCGCATTTCAGCCAGCACAAAAGTGCTAAGACGCTGTACGACGCTGTAGTTGCGCGCTACTCCTCCCCGGCCACTGCAGCCATAGGTCGGCTCATGCTACCCTACCTGTTCCCCGACCTTTCCTCGTTCACCGCTGCTGATGACCTCATTTCTCATCTGCGCGCTACTGACACTCGCTTTCGTGCCGCCCTTTCAGCCGAGTTCTGCGCCGCAACCCCCCCCCCCCCCCCCCGCCCCGATGTACTTCACTCTCTATTTCCTCGTCATCCACCTCCCTGACACTCTTAGCTCTGTCAGGGACCACTTCCTAGCGCTAGACCCCACCACTCTCACTGTCGACGACTTCGAGAAGCACCTCCTCGCAGCAGAGAAGAACATCCTCGCTGTAGGTGCTGCTCGTGGCACTCCTCGCTCTCCCCTCTTTGAGGGGTGCTCCCCCTCCCCTCTCACCCCCTCCTACGCCTCCGCAGCTGCTGCTCACGACTACCTTGGTGCTGAGGAGGTCGGAGCTGCTTCCGCTCCTAGTGGGAAGCGTCGCAGCGGCAGGGGCGGCAGGGGTGGCAGGGGCGGTGGGGGTGGCGGTGGAGGTGGCGGTGGTGCAGGCGGCGGGGGGGTTGTGTTGGTGCAACCCTACGGTTTGCACTCGGCTTGTTGTTTGTGTGCGTGAATGTGTGTGTGTATGGAATGGTATGAGGGCATGGGATAATATATATTTCATGCTTATAATTGTGTGTGAATGTTGAGTCATGATGTCGAGTGTGTGTGTCGAGTCAATAGCGAGTTATCGCTAGACGCGTGTTACGCGGTCGTTTGTGTCTTGCGCGCGGTTTCTATTTTGTCGTGCGCGGTTTCTATTTTGTCCTGTGTCGAACGTTCGGCGTGTCGCAGGTGTGTGCAGCAGACCCATCAAGAACTCAATGATGAGTTTGTGATGAAGAGCCCGAGCCTTGGTGTCAAGCCTCAAGTGATTTCGAAGCTTGCCAAAAGGGTACACCTCAAGATATTGAAGATAGTTACATTACTTTGTGTAGTGTAACATTTCACTTGGTGTAGGCCCTAGTGAAGGGTAGTTTCGAGACCCTTCGTGGTTGGGGACAGTGTGGCACTGTTCCACATCACTGTACCTCGGCTCTTGGGGTTTGTAGGAGCTGGGAGTCATTCCCAACTCGTAAGTCTTCCTATCTTGTGTTCTAAGACTATAGTGGCTGCCATAGTACCGTTCGTTCAAACCGACGCTGTGTCGTCAAATCTTTATCAAATCGTGCAATCTAAATTGCTAATTGTAGACGACGTGAAAACTCTCCAGATCCAATTTGAATCAAGTCATTTGCAGCTGTGAGCAGAACGCTATCAACGTTTGAAGCCGCTGTGCAGAAATCCGTCTGTGCTCTCTATCTTTCGTTTTAGGCACATTCAAGCCTATTGTGACTATAACAAGTGGTATCAGAGGCCCTTGGAGCAGTTTCGACAATGTCTGGACCTGAGGAAAGGGGTGGCAGAGGTGCTGGTGGCAGTGGAGAAGCTCAAGCTCAAGGCCAACCCCGTGATTCAGCCATGGCGCCCATGCAACCAAGTCTTGGCCCACCTAGGGATGAGCCTAGGGTGTTTGGGCTTGACAAGTTCAACGGTGACAACTTTGCTGAATGGTCCTTCAAGATGGAGAACATCTTTGACCACTATGACCTGCTGGAGGTGATGGAAGGAACGGAGAAGCGCCCCGAGAACGACCCGGAGAAGAGCCCGTGGGTGTGGAAGAGCGCACAAGGCTATCTCTTACTTGGGCAAGCGTTGGGGAGCAGTCAGATCCGTCACATCAAGCCATTCCAGCGTGAACCAGAGAAAGGACCAAAGGCATGGGCTGCTCTCAAGGGTGTACATGCTCCTGCAACAGCGGCGGTAGCGGTGGTGTTGGAAC